TGTTTGGTCCATGGTCAACAATGGAGTTAATAACTTGTCACTAAGAATAAAAGTTGATGATAGGATCTACCACTTCCTTGGAATAATTTATTTTTGCTACTACAGGGAGGAAATAAACCCATACTTTGGACAACATCATTATAATTATTTCTTTGTCTTTTCTTTTTCTTTCTTTCTTTTTTTTTTTTTTTGCTTTGTAATATCTACATTAGTAAATAGATGTTTGCCTTTCAGTGCTCCTGAAATAAAAAGGGAAAGTTGCAAATGGAAGTAATTACTGTCAACCATCTCAGTGTAAGCAGAAGAAAGTAGCAGGGGCCAGCTCCTTTCTGCTGACCTTGAACTTGGGTGGTCCCTTTGTACCTTTGTTTCCTAAAATGAAGTCTCAAGAATGGGAGGGACCAGCTCTCTGATCTTTGAAACAGTTCAGGAGAAAAGTTGATATTACATAATGTGTCTTGAGTAAAATACAAATGGCTTTACAAAATTATATAAACATAAATTATAAAATTTAACTTGATGTCTATTCTTCAGAGTTTCTTTTTAACATTTATTTTTTTTTCAGCATATTATGGGGTTACAAATTTTAAGGTTTCAAATAATGCCCTTCCCTCCCTTCCCCCCTCCACAAGTCTGAGCTTCCAGAGTGACCATCTCCCAGACATGCACATTCTACTCATTACGTAGTATTAATACCCACTCTCCTTCCCCTCCCACCTGCCCAATATCCAATTACTGTAGTTCTTATGTGTCCACTTAGGTGCTGCTCAGTTAATACCAGTTTGCTGGTAAGTATATGTGGTTCTTGTTTTTCCATTCTTGGGATACTTCACTTAGTAGTATGGGTCCAGCTCTAGCCAGGCAAATACAATGTGAGCTATATCACTCTGGTTTCTTAGAGCTGACGCTGAACGCGCCCGATCTCATCTGTTCTTCAGAGTTTAAACCTTTTACTCACTACAGTCAAGCCTCACTTAATGATGAGGATATCTTCTCGAAAAGGAGTCATCAGGCAATTTCATCATTGAGTGAACATCATAGCGTGCACGTACACAGACCTACCTGCTATAGCCTGCTACACACCTAGGCTTTATGGGATAACTTGTTGCTCCTGGGCTACAAACCTGTACAGCATGTTAACTGTACTGAATACTGTAGACCACTGTAACACAGTGGTAAATATCTGTGTACCTAAATGTATATAAACATAGAAAGGTACTATAAACATATTGTATAAAAGTAAAAAATGATACGACTGCATAGGGAATTTAACATGAATGGCATTTTCAAGATTGGAAGTTGCTCTGTGAGTCAGTGAGTGAGTGGTAAGTGAATTTGAAGGTCTAGAACATTGTTTATCTACGACTGAAGACTTTATAAACATTGTACACTTAGGCTACACTAAATTCATAAAAAATATTTTTCTTCTTCAGTAATAATTAATAGTAGCTCACTGTAACTTATTTACTTTATAAACTTTTTTTATTTTTAAAATTTTGACTCTTTGTAATACTAATACTTACCTTAAACACAAAGATGTTGTACAACTGTATAAAAAATATCTCTCTTCATAGACTTACTCTGTTATTTTTTTATAGTAGTAGTATTTTACTTTTTAAACTTTTTTGTTAACAACTGAGACTAACCACACTATTAGCCTAGGCTATACAGGGTCAGGATCATCGATTTCACTGTCTTCCACCTCCACATCTTGTCCCACTGGAAGGTCTTCAGTGGCAATAACATGTATTCAGCTGTCATCTCCCATGATTGATAACAATGCCTTTTCTGGAATACCTCCTCAAAGACCCATCTGAGGCTGTTTTATAGCTAACTTTTATTTTCTATATCAGAAAAGTATACTCTAAAATAACAATTAAAAGTATAGCATAGTATAATTATAAACTAGTAACATAGTCATTTATTATCATTATCAAGAATCATGTACTATACATATATTACTTGCTACACTTTTATACAACTAGCAGTGCATTAGGTTGGTTTACACCAGCATTACTGCAAATGCATGTGTAATTCACTGTGCTATGGTGTTATGATGGCTACAGGCATCCACTTATGAACAATATGTAATTTCCGCATGTATATAGTAATTGCTTAGTGATATTTCAGTTGGTTATGCAAATCGCAGTCACCATGAAATTGACCACAGAAAGGAGGCAAGATTGTTCAAGGACCATATTCTACCCTTAAATTCTTTCTATAAGTTGGGAAGAGATAACTACCATATTTTTAAAGGCATTGAAATTCCATATGTTCTACCGAGATCAAATGAGAAGGAGAGCAAGTATTCTTGATGCCTCACGATAGCACAGGAGTAGGGGGAAAATGACATCCATGTTGATAAAAGAAGTCTAAGCTGCTAAGCATGGTGTCTTGATGCCAGCAGAGATCCCATCTATGAATTTTAAATAACTACTAATTTGTATATCAAATTTGCTTTGTAGACTTTGCCTTATCTCTCATTTTCATCTCATATTATTATTCAAGATTAAGAGGATATAGAAATTAAGAAAGGTCTCAATTCTCTGTGACCTATTAAGACTAAGGGCAATACTAATAGTTTTTTAAGTGTTCATACCTCTTTCTGGGCTCTTCCATTTTCCACTAGTCAATAAGATGGTGCTATGAATTAGAAGTCCGAGGCCTTGAAGTTGAAAGCCATCGCAGAGGCATTTAAAAGGCAAAATGTATCATTCCTTTGGCATTTTCGAGCAGTATTTCTTTTTATTTTTTTAATTTTTAATTTTTTCCTCCTTTTATTTCATTATATTATGGGGGTACAAATATTGTTTGGGCTACATATATTGCCCCTGCCACCCCTCCTCCCCTCTGTGCCAGCGCTTCAAGCGTGTCCAACCCCCAGTTGGTGCACAACACACCCATCATGTAAGTATACCCCCTTCCCTTCCTCCCCCCTCCCACCTGCCCACTACTCGATAAAAGGTAGGGGTTTTTTTTCGTTTGTTTGTTTGACATTTTGGTTACATTGTATATCTTTGCCTCTCCCTAAGAAGGGTTAGAGGTATTCTCTTCCCCTCCAGAATTAGAGCAATATTTCTAAGTTAGGTTTTAAAAATTCCTTTAATCACCAAATTGAATATGCTGAAATAAAAAAAATTAAAGAAAAAGAAATTTAGGAACAATTATTGGTAGGAAATGCTGATGGATTCCATGACTCCATAATCGCACAAAAAAAAAAAAAAGGAGGAAAAATCTGATAAGTGAAACTTAAATAAGTATTAAATGAACACACGAATGGATAACCAAATTTGTGTTGGACCAAATGTTAAAATTATAGCTGTCAGGTCATTTCAAAAAGAGGCTCATTTATTCCATACATCACAAAACAGTCCTCAAGTATTTCAAGTTACATTGTTCTGATAGTGAGGATTGTGGTCTCATTTCATTGACTGTATTGAAAACTGTAAGCTCAGCTGCCTAAATAGGCTTTTTATTCCTTTTTAAATTAAGAGGGCTGTGCACTGAGGCATTGACATCTGTGTGTGGACCACCAAGCAAATTTTAGTTGGAAGCAATGTCACTATTGCATTTATGTAAATGAACACAGATTTCCAAATCCTGGTGAAATTGGGAGAGATCAGGATGTAGAAAATGAAGAAAATGTAATACAAAATTAAAACCAGAGCATGTTTCTCTTCTTTCCAGCTTATTGATGCTCATTTGGAGTCGTGGGAAGAATTCACTCTAGGATGCTAGTGAACTTGGAATGGCAATTAGACAGATGTATTGGGAAAGAAATATTTTAATTTTTAAAACCTCTTGCCAGCTGTTCTCTGGTAACCTCTGATTCTGATAACTGCTTTCCTTGTGTCCTATTTGCAGTTGCTTCACTTTAATGCCGCCTCGGGACATGGAGGCTCTTCTAATAGTCAGGTAAAGATAATGTGTTCTTTTGGAACAAGAGAATGTGAGACTCAATTGAAAACAAATTATTGTATCCTGAATATATTTAAATACGTGCTCTACCTTTTGAAAACAAAAGAAGCTGTTTTCAGATTTCCAGATTGTGGATATTTCAAATAAAATTTTGATAATTTACATGTTAAGTATAAATTTATTAATATTTTACTTAAGTATTGGCCAGATTCTGGCAAGACAGTGTAGAACTAAATGTTTTGCCTTTCTCTTTTGATATTCACAGCCACCTAACATGGGTAAAATTAATTATTTAGTACATATTCATTATCTTTTGTTAACAATTTTATTCTAAGGTTAATTATTTATTTAGTAAATTCTTTAATTTGACCACAGACACTATAATGAGAAAGGGCAAGACATTATAAATGTATGCTACATTGCTTGCTGTTCTTATAGCTCATTATTTTTTAATTTCTATGGTATAATATACATGTTTTATTTCATGTGTAGATGAGATCATACATATATTTGCAGTCAAAGAATAAATTTTTATATATCTTTTTAATAATAGCCAACAATCCAGTCTCAGCTGAAAAAAGTTCTTTCCGATATAAACACACCCCACAAGGATTATGATCTCAGCATTGCTAATGGCCTTTTTGCGGAAAAAGTTTTTGACTTTGACAAGGTAAGTAAAACTGCCTATGTTAGAAAGTTATTTCCACTCTGGACCTGAAACTTGTTTAATCCATTATCTGAATAAAGGCTTGCCCCTTTCTACCCAGCCCTCAGATGGGTCTTTGAGGAGGTATTCCAGAAGAAGGCATTGTATCAATCATGGGAGATGACAGCTGATACATGTATGCCACTGAAGACCTTCCAGGAACAAGATGTGGAGGTGGAAGACAGTGAAATCGATGATCCTGACCCTGTATAGGCCTAGCTAATATGTGTGGTTTGATCTCAGTTGTTAACAAAAAAGTTTAAAAAGTAAAATAACTACTAATAAAAAAAATTACAGAGTAAGTCTATGAAGAGAGATTTTTTTATACAGTTTACAACATCTTGTGTTTAAGGTAAGTATTAGTATTACAAAAGAGTCAAAATTTTAAAAATAAAAAAGTTTATAAAGTAAATAAGTTACAGTGAGCTACTATTAATTATTACTGAAGAAGAAAAAATTTTTTATGAATTTAGTGTAGCCTAAGTGTACAATGTTTATAAAGTCTTCAGTCGTAGATAACAATGTTCTAGACCTTCAATTCACTTACACTCCTCACTGACTCACAGAGCAACTTCCAATCTTGAAATGCCATTCATGTTAAATTCCCTATGCAGTCGTATCATTTTTACTTTTATACAATATGTTATAGTTCTTTTCGATGTTATCATACATTTAGGTACACAGATATTTACCACTGTGTTACAGTGGTCTACAGTATCAGTACAGTTCAACATGCTGTACGGTTTGTAGCCCAGGGACAACAAGTTATCCCATAAAGCCTAGGTGTGTAGCAGGCTATAGCAGGTAGTCTGTGTACGTGCACGCTATGATGTTCACTCAATGATGAAATTGCCTGATGACTCCTTTTCGAGAAGATATCCTCATCATAAGTGAGGCTTGACTGTAGTGAGTAAAAGGTTAAAACCTGAGAACAGATGAGATCGGGGCGTCAGCGTCAGCTCTAAGAAACAGCAGTGATATAGCTCACATTGTATTTGCCTGGCTAGAGCTGGAACCATACTACTAAGTGAAGTATCCCAGAATGGAAAACAAGAACCACATATACTTACCAGCAAACTGGTATTAACTGAGCAGCACCTAATTGGACACATAAGAACACAGTAATTGATATTGGGCAGGTGGGAGGGGAAGGAGAGTGGATATACCAACGTAATGAGTGAGATGTGCATGTCTGGGAGATGGTCACTCTGGAAGCTCAGACTTGTGGGGGGGAAGGGAGGGAAAGGCATTATTTGAAACCTTAAAATTGTAACCCCATAATATGCTGAAATAAAAAATAAATAAAAAACTCTGAAGAATAGACATCAAGTTAAATTTTATAATTTGTTATAAATTTTGTAAGCCTTATTTTATACTCAAGACAACATTATGTAATTTCAACTTTTTCTCTGAACTGTTTCAAAGATCAGAGAGCTGGTCCCTCCATTCTGAGACTTCATTTTAGGAAAACAAAGGTAACAAAGGGACCCACCCAAGTTCAAGGTCAGCAGAAAGGACTGGCCTGCTACTTTCTTCTGCTTACACGAGATGGTTGACAGTAATTACTTCCATTTGCAACTTTCCCTTTTATTTCAGGAGCACTGAAAGGCAAACATCTATTTACTAAGTAGATATTACAAAGCAAAAAAAAAAAAAAAGAAAGAAAGAAAAAGAAAAGACAGAAATAATTATAATGATGTTGTCCAAAGTAGGGTTTATTCCTCCCTGTAGTAGCAAAATAAATTATTCAAGGAAGGGTAGATCCTTATCAACCTTATTCTTAGTGACAAGTTATTAACTCCATTGTTGACATGGACAAATCAGCAGTCACCATGAAACTTGACCACAGAAAGGAGGCAAGATTTTACTATGTGTTGGTAGATGGCAGACCTGTTATTCAAACTCAGGGTGATCTTTTTTGAAGGAGGGTTTCTCAACCTTGGTTCTCCTGCCATTTTGGGCTGGGTAATTCTTTGTTGTGATGGGCTGTGTTGTGTATCCTCAGAAGTTTAGCAGCATCCCTGGCCTCTCCCCACTAGATACCAGCTGTGTACCTCTCCTTAGTCATAACAACCAAAAACATCTCCAGGTTTTCCAAAGAAAACCCCAGGGTTGCGAAATCAATCTCCAGTTGAGAACTTCCCTGAAGCCACCACAATTTATGGCTTCCATCTGCGTATCTCTTTTAAGCATTACCATGGACCCATGGTCTTTTTTCTTTTTGATGCTCAAATTGTCTCAGGTGGGCTAGTAGAAATCCCTTTAACCTGTCCTTTTTAAATAATCTGTCATAAGAACTCTAAAATATTTTTGCTTTCTGATAAGATGTTCTAGGTTTGTCTTGAGTTATCTTGGCTCCAAGAGGCACTCAGCTATGCTTTATGAAGCCGTGACTCATTTACTGCATTGAAGTCATGAATCTGTATGCTTGAGGTTCAATGCAGTTGAAGGGCCATGAAGGCTGCTCATCATTTGAGTGAAAGACTTGAGAAAGTACTTATTTATGAGGTCATGTATGCAGGTGCATTCTATTATAAAAGTTTTAAAAACTTATTTTCCTTTTTTTTTTTTGGATTTACCTTTTCCTTTCTTCTCTCTTGCATAACATTTCAATTAAAACATATTATGCTATTTATTTTTATCCTAAATCATGTGTTTGGATTACAATATTATTTTGAAGTTGTATATTTTGGATTTTTAAAAATGCAATTGGGTTTACCAAAAAAATTTTAAAATAATCATTGTACTACTTACTATACCATTCTGTAAGAAGAAACAATAGTTTTATAATTTGGCATCAATACATAGGTAGAAACCAAAGGGGATGCAGATGATTCAGCCTCTTTTTTTTTTAACACTTAATCCAAATATCCTGAAATTACTTACATTATATAGAGCCATTATTTTTCTCTCATTGCCATCATCTAAATTTGTTAGCCAGTTATTTGATTTTCCTTTTGTATGGACATGAGGGAAGATGAAAATAGAGGACTTTTAGTATTTTGATGGGAACATTAAGGAATTTGATAGGAAAAGTAAGAAGAGGAAGAATTGTAATAAATAAGCCCTTTGAAATTTTATTTAATATTTATCATATACAAATATTTACTACAGATTGAAGATGCCTTATCTGAAATGCTTTATCTGAAATGCTTGGGATTAGGACGAATATTTTTGAATTTGTTATCTCAAATTTTGGATTTTTTCATATTTTGGAATATTTGCTTGCACATAATGAAATATCTTGGAGATGGGACCCAAGCCTAAACATGAAATTTATTTATGTTTCATATACACATAGCATGAAGGTGATTCTATACTTTTAATAATTTTGTGCACGAAAGAAATTTTGAATTGCCATATGAGGTCCAGTGTGGGATTTTCCACTTGTGGAGTCATTCTGGTGTTCCAAAATTTTCTGATTTTGTAGCATTTCAGATTTTGGATTTTTGGATTAGGACTGCTCAAACTGTAGTATCATTATTTATCTTTGGTCATGATAGTTTTATTGTTGAATCTATAATTTCTTAGATTTTTTAAAAGATAAAAACAGATATATGTCAGTTCAATATTGTACCAGTACAGCTTATTAAAAAGCCAATTAGCAATATCAAACAAATTAATATAAAAATGGAATATTATTAATCATCACAGAATGATGTTAAATATTATCATATTCTTAAAATTTTATTCAAAAAGTTAAAAAGAATAATTTCTAGATATTCATACAATTTTTATAACATTGCTTGGGTGCTGCAGGAGTTAATTCAGAATAGATATTAGCATGTTTCAGTCCAGACACTTTAGCATGGTATTTCATATTTCTGTCCATCTGCATATTTCTAAATAACAGCCTATCCAATGGTGGCTTTAGGACTTTTTTAGAAACGAGAACTGCAGGAAGTTTGAAACTTACAGTCTGCCTTAGAATAAATCTTGGCAAAAGAGAAGGAACAATTTCTTTCTCCTGGCTAGCTTCACATTAATTACTAGGTTCTTTTTACAAGGTAAAGACATGCATCATATAACCATAGTTTTGGTCAATGACAGACCACATATACAACTGTAGTCCCATAAGATTATAATGGAGCTGAAATATTCCTATTGTTTAGTGATGCTGTAGCCATCATAACACCATAGCACAGTGAATTACTCATGCATTTGCAGTAATGCTGGTGTAAACCAACCTAATGCACTGCTAGTTGTATAAAAGTGTAGCAAGTACAATTATGTATAGTACATGATTCTTGATAATGATAATAAATGACTATGTTACTAGTTTATATATTTACTATGCTATACTTTTTATTGTTATTTTAGAGTATACTTTTCTATGTATAGAAAATAAAAGTTAGCTATAAAACAGCCTCAGACGGGTCTTTGAGGAGGTATTCCAGAAGAAGGCATTGTTATCAATCATGGGAGATGACAGCTGAATACATGTTATTGCCACTGAAGACCTTCCAGTGGGACAAGATGTGGAGGTGGAAGACAGTGAAATCGATGATCCTGACCCTGTATAGGCCTAGGCTAATATGTGTGTTTGAGTCTCAGTTGTTAACAAAAAAATTTAAAAAGTAAAATACTACTACTACTAATAAAAAAAACTTACAGAGTAAGTCTATAAAGAAAGATATTTTTTATACAGTTGTACAACATCTTTGTGTTTTAAGGTAAGTATTAGTATTACAAAAGAGTCAAAAATTTTTTAAAAATAAAAAAGTTTATAAAGTAAATAAGTTACAGTGAGCTACTATTAATTTATTACTGAAGAAAGAAAAATATTTTTTTATGAATTTAGTGTAGCCTAAGTGTACAATGTTTATAAAGTCTTCAGTCATAGATAACAATGTTCTAGACCTTCAAATTCACTTACCACTCACTCACTGACTCACAGAGCAACTTCCAATCTTGAAAATGCCATTCATGTTAAATTCCCTATGCAGTCGTATCATTTTTATCTT